GTTTCAGGTCTTAATGTTTAAGTTTCTAATTTTGAGTTGTTTTTTATGTATGAGATGAGAATAGAGTCTCTTTTCTTGTGCTTGAAGACAAAAGAACAATTTTTTTTCTGGTACCAGGAATCAAACACAGGACCTGTGCTTGCCAGGCAGGTGATTTTGCCACTGAGCTACATCCCTGGCCCCAAAAGAAAAAATTTTTAGCATTACTAAATTATTTGTGAATAGAACTGCAAAATATTTGCACAACAATGCAAATATTTCTGAAAAAATGAAACTTTCCTTTTCCGAATAGCATATGTTTCAATAAGACTATATTTTAGCTGGGTGTGATGGGTGGTGCGTACCTGTAATCAAAACATTCTGGGAGCCTGAGTCAGGAGGATCATAAATTAAATCCCAGTGCGGGCAACTTAGTGACTTAGTAAGAAACTATCTCAAAAATTTTAATCATTGTTTTTAAAGGGCAGAGAAAATACCTCAGTGCAAAGGCCCTGGGTACAAAAAAAACTACAACTTGATCCAAACATGGGCAAGAATATTTCTATAAACTTTAAAATACACTTATTTGTTAGAGAAGCAAATCATAACAGATGGTTAAACACCTTATGGGGCATGAAACCAAGGTTATATCAGAGGTATCATGAAAGGAGTTCATGGGTATCTATTTCTCTCACCTTTATGTGGTGCTAGGCATTGAACCTATGGCTAAGCATGTACCATGCCCCACCCATGGATGTCTCTTTTGCTATGGTCTAAATGCTTGTTTTACCCTATATTTACATATTGAAATCCTAACTCTAAGTGTCATGGTGTTAGAGTTTGAGTCATTAGGGAGATGACTGCATCATGAAGGTGGAGTACTCATGAGTAGGACTAGGGCCCTTGTAAGAGGAACAGCAGAGCACAATTGTTCAAGCATGAGTCAACGTGTGTAAACCAGGAGAGACTGTGCTGGCACCCTGATCTCCAACTTCTAGCAGCAAGAATCATGATAAATAAATTCTGTTTTTTATAAGCCACGCAGTTGGTAGTATTTTGGTATAGCAGCTCAAACTGACTAAGATATGTCCCAATTCTGCCTTTAGTGGTATCTTGTTAAGAGGCTGAAATAAAATATTGTGGAGAACTTGCTCTATGGAAATCAGCAAATTCTCTGGAATTATTCCCCAAAAAGCCATATATCAAACATTCAACAGACATCACTGCATTCCTTTATCATTTTCTCACTTTATTTCTATTACTTCATTTTTAAATAAAATATTACAGAATAATTTATAAACAATACATGTCATTGCTGCTCGGTACTTAAGTGTATATTTTCTTAAAACAAGAGTGTTCTCCTACTCTAAATTCTCCTAAAAGAAATATTTACTCATTATTACTAACTAATCCACAAACTTCTTTCATAATAGCTCTTTTTTTTCCAATAATGACTTTTATGGGCCCAGAATCCCATCCAGAATGACCTATTGAATTTCTCTGCCACAATTTGGTTTTCTTTAATGTGATACTATATCTAGATGCCCCCTAAGAGTCTTGTGTGCTCACAGGCATGGCTTTGGGAAAGCTATTGGATTATGGACATTTATAGTTAGATTACTGTTGTGAAATAGGGTTTGGGTGAAGGAGGGGCATGGCTTGGAAGGGTTTATCCCCCTCCTCAGCTCCTCCTTACTCTCTCTCCTTGTTCTTCAGAAGTGAGTAGCTTTTTGTCCACCATGTGCATCTGCCAGGCCACCCTGCCTTGGAGCTGGGTGCCTATTGACCACAACTCTACAAACTGTAAGCCAAAACCAAACTTCTCCTCCTTTAATTTATGGGTGTTTGGTATTTTGTCCCAGCAATGAGAAAGTATCTAAGACACTTGGCTTGTTATTGATGACCTCAACATCAACTTGTCTGGTGTTTTCACATTATACTGGGTCTGAAATACCTCACAAGGTATGCTATCATTTTCTTTTCATTTCATTGAATCAGGAGATATGTCATGTAAATTAATTCATACTTGTGATGTTAACTTTTGTCATTTAGGTAAAATGGTGTCAGCCAGATTCCACCACTGTAAATATAATCAATGTATTCTGTACATATAAATTATTAACTATTCATTATATTTTGAGAAGAGCCCCCATCTTGCAATACTGGGGAGTAGATCCAGGGCATCCCACAGCATTCACACTGAACTACATTCCCATCCCTTTAATTTTTTTAGACAGAGTCTTGCTAAATCTCCCAGGATGGGCTTAAACTCATGATGCCCCTGTCTCAGAGTCCCAGAAAGCTGGGATTACAGGCATGTGGCACAATGCCTAGCTATTTTGAGACTCTCAATGTGGGACAAAGGTTTTTCTTCTTCCTCATTTATCTATTTATTTAATACACATATCGGTAAGGCTATACATACTTACAGTTTCCTATTTAACTGAAAATGTTGCATTCTGTGATGTCTGTAAATTATTTTGATCTTCAAATGTGGCCAATGAAAATCACTTAGAGGTAGTTTTTCTCTTCAGTTGAAGTTTCCTTATTGTTCTTTGATCACTTCCTTAACTTTTTGATACAAGATGTTTTATCTTTATTTTTATTTTATTTTTGAGACAGTGCTTTGCTATGCAGTTCAGGCTGGCCTTGAGCTCACTTCGTAGCCCAGGCTGGCCTTGAACTTGCAACAATCCTCCTGCCTCAGCCTCCCGAGTGCTGGGATTATAGGCCTGTGCTATCATGCCTGGTGATGCAAGATGTTTTAGTAAAAGGTGAAAGATTTATATGATCTGAAAAGAAACCAGAGTATGATGCAAGATGTTTTAGATGCATACTGTATTTTCCCTGCCTTCTCCTTAGATTTACTTATTTCTCTAAAGAATTAGATCCTTTTAGTGGAAAATAGCGTTATAAGTCCAATTCTGAGTGCTACGTGGGCTCATTATTACTGGAGTCCTATTGTTTTTAAGCCCTCAAAGCAATAAGTGCAGAAATATATGTATACCTATATATATGCTATCATCTACCTACATGCCACATATATGCCAGTTAATCTTACTTGTCTACTTGGCTGGATTAAGAGAGTCTTGGAGAGGTGATAGGTTGTAGGGGTTCTATAGTGATCAGTGGATTAATCCACTGATGTTCGTAGCTAAATGTGCTGTTAAGAGGCAGAGCCCAGTTGGGGGAGATGGGTCACTGGCAGCATACCTTTGAGTTTATATCTCTTACTGATGCCCTTCACCTGTGCTCTTTTTCATGACTGCCATGAATTGTGCAACTTCCCTCCACCATGCCTTTTAACCATGATGCTCTTGGGTTGTAGCCAACCATGGACCAAAACTTCTGAAAATGTGAGTCAAAATATACCTCTTATCCTTTAAGTTGTGTTAGGTACTTTGCCCCACCCATGAGTGGGAAAGCTGACTGATGCAACATCTGTGTGTGTTTCATCTATGTATACATAGTTAAATTCATGCACACATTTTTCTAATTCCAATACATCTGAGAGTTTTTCTATCATTTTCTTTTCTATATTTTTTCCTATCTTTGAATGAGAAATTTGTCAGCACACTTATTGCATTTTCTTATTTGTTTAGCTTTTCCCCTATGTAACCAAGCTCGTAGACCAAAAGCTCAGCCCCAGTCCTGCTAACCTCTGCTCTGTTCCCATCCCTGGTGCTGGGGCACTGATGAAAACCCCAGTCCCCACCTGGGGGAAAAGAAAGAAAAGAAAAGGAAAGGAGGAGAGATCACCTGTAGCCTAGTTTCCCCTTCCTTAACCAGGCCCCTAATTTGAGCTGGATTAAAAGGGAGAGGAAGCAAGCCCTATTTTTTCTCTGAAATGATAACACAGCAGATTTTCTAGGCAATTGTAATTTTGGAGACAACAGCTTTTTAAAAAAACAGACCTCCTTTGCTTATAAATGATGTATGCACAGGATTAAACATTCAGAAATATGGAGTAAAAATAAATATTGATGTTGCTGTGGTCAGGGTTTATAAGAGAATGGATTTAATACAGGACACATAATTTATAAGATTATTTTATAATATTCACCCAAAGAGTCAAATGCAAAAGAGTGAGGGAGATCTATCCACACACTAGAACATGAAGAATCCAGCTGAAGACCTGGATCCCACGGTAATATCCTGCACAAGCTGAAGACTTAGAGCCCAAGGCAACATCCTCCACAAGTCTAACTGGAGGCTAAGAGCCCATGACAATGTCTCATGCATGTCTGTATCAAGGATCTATACTGGGAAGGATCTACAAAGGTCAGTGGTGAAAGCTACAAGTGTGCACCAGCAGGATGAAGGTTCTGTGCCACTACACTGAGATCTGCACTGGAGCCAGAAAGCATGCTCAAGGTAAAGAGTAGATCTCCTCCAAAGAGAACCACAGCCATCCTCCATGACAGCAAGGACCTGAACTCCGACAATAAGGACAGCCAAGTTGACTGTTAGTTAATCCACCAAGTTCATATCAGCAAAGCCAGCTTCTCTAGGAGAATCAACAGTACACCATCTTCCCCTCCAGTTCTCTCTTTATGCTTTGGCAACAATCCTCAGGTGGTGCTTCTACATCCAGTGTCATGCTGTTTCAATTCAGCTGGGGGTTCCAAGTTGTCCATTAGTTGATCCAAAACAATTGACAATCACCAACCATTTTCCTGTCTGTAGAAAATCATTTAACTTTTTGGTCTATCCTTCTCCCTGCTCCCAACTCTTTTAATGTGAAAAATTTCAAATCTGCCTGTCCATAACATACCAGATGTCCATACCATACCAGATGTCCATGATATACAGATGTCCAATGGTATACAAGGGACATCTGTATACCATGTACCTAAGTTAAGTACTATTTTGCTATTTTTGCTTTCTCTTTATATTTCCATATATATTTCCACTGTCAGTAAGAGTTAGTAAATAGCTCAGCATATTTTCTAAAAACAAGGACATTCTCCTGCATAACCAGTACAAATGTCTCACTCAGAAAAGTAACATTCATACAATAGTTTAATATGTAGTTTTTTATTTCATTTTCCCCAATTGTAAAACTAATGTCTTATAAGTCACACTAAATTTAATCACTTGGTTAATATGGCAGATCTACTTCAGTGATTTTCAAGTGTATAACACATTAACTTTAGTCACCAATGATGTACAATAAACCTCCAGAACTTGGTCTTCCTGCCCATCGTTTCTGAGCATGTTTTTTACTTTATACCACAAGACGGTGCAGGCTTTATATACTCCATATGACCCAGCTCGGGAGTTATTTCTCCAACTCCATATTAGTAGGAAATAGTAGTTAAAAGTAGGATCTCAGCCACTGATGAACTCATTGTTTATGAGTTATTACCTTTAAACTTTTGCAGAGCTAGCAAATACATACAAAAAGCATGAAACTATAGAAATTAACTGATATTTGTAATCCAGTCTAATCATGCTCTTCCTCTTTTCCTGATTCCAATTTCTTTCCCATTTCCCAGAGTACCTTGGATCCTCCAACATCAATCAATATACTTTAACTTATTTGCTGGATCCTACATTATACACAAATGGGATTCAGAATTGCTTCTTTTCTGATACCGGGAATCAAACTCAGTACCTCATGCTTGCCAGGCAGGCCCTGTGCCACGGAGCTATATCCCTGGCCCTGCCTCTTTCCTTTAAAAAAAAAAAAAAAATTCCATGCACACAGGCACAAGTCCGTCTCTGTCCCGCTTGCCCTGGGCTGAGCCTTTGGGCTTGCTGACATTCTGGCCCGCGCATTTGTTGGCTCCTGAGAAGCTGTTGCTGTAGATGAAGATGTGGGAGCCCTCAAACAGGTTGGAGGAGGCCAGCCTTCCGCCTCGAAGTGGCCCGGGTGGCATCCAGCGTGCAGGGCTAGCCCCCTTGCACAGCACCGCACTCAGCAGCTGCGGGATCACCGGCGCCCAGGGGTAGGGACACCGCGCCCCATCCCGCAAAGGCTGGGCCAAGCTCGGAAGACCGCTGCTCGTCGCTGCTCCCGGCCTGGTTTCCGGGCAAGAGGACACGCTCTTGCCTGTCTCAGAGACCTCGAGGGTGGGGTGGGCTGTGAGCCGATGGAGGTCACGGTCCCGGGGGTGAAGCCACTCCCCACAGAGGAGCCTCTAGTTTCTCCTGGTGAAACAATCGAGAGAGTCCTCTGCCTGCCCAGGCTGACACAACCCTCTCTCCCTTTCACCTGGCTCCTGAAGTAACAGGCAAAGCACTGGAGCAGGTGAAACTAATGAGAGCTCTTACTCTGAACTGGAAGGATTGTCAATCCCGAACCTGGCACCTTGGAGAGAAGAAACAGGGAACGAGGAAGGTTTGTGGGCACGAGACAAGCGCTGGCCAAGAGGATCGATTCTGTTCCCAGCTGGTCCCATTGCCCCTTGTGACCTTGAGGTTCTCATATGAGCTTTCAGCTTTACAGCAATTGTAGGATTTTTAAAACTGAAAGGAACCTCTAAGCTCATCTAGTCCAGTGTCCTACACCATCTCCAACCCTAAGATTCCTCCTATGAATTGATGACCCGAGAAGTTCATTTCCTACTCTACATTCTCTCTTGCAAAAAGCCCAGCCAGCATTAGAGAATGAACCCAATAAAATCAGGTAAGCAATGGGTGGGTAGGCAGGGACTGGAATACACCTATGTCTTGTAAGTGTAAATGTTACAAGTGTACCTGTGTACACAGGTGCATGTCATGCTATGTGCCTGTGTCTTCAGGCCCCAGACTTGGTTCCAGAAAAGACCCCTTCCTCTAATCTCAGATGGCTCCTCATCTCTTCTACTTAAAATCCAGGCAAAACAAGGGGTGCAGGTGTACAGCTGTATTCCCAGCACTGAGGAAGGAGGATTGCTTTGAGTTTGAGGCTAGCCTGGGCTACACAGTGAATTCAAGGCCAGCCTGGACTACACAGTGAGACCTTGTCTCAAAAATACCAAGCCCAGCTGGGCGTGGTGGCACACACCTGTAATCCCAGTGCTCCAGAGACTGAGGCAGGAGGATTGTTGTGAGTTCGAGGCCAGCCTGGGATACAAAGGGAGTTCAAAACCAGCCTGAACTGCACAGTGAGACCCTGTTTCAAAAAGACAAAAAACAAAAAACAAACAAAAAAAAAACCACAAGCCTCCCAAAAAAGATCCAACCAAACTGAGCCACAAAGTCAGTTTTCAGCCAGGTGTGGTGGCATATGCCTGTAACCCCACCATTCAGGAGGCTGAGGCAGGAGGATCACTGTGAATTGAGGCCAGCCTGCACTACAAAGTGAGTTCAAGGCCAGCCTGAACTGCATAGTGACCCTATGAGCCTGAACTGCATAGTAATCACAGTGAGACACAATAAAGTCAGTTTCTCCGTTTCAGTTACATGCATTTTGTTTGGCTGCTCTCCATTCTGAAACCAAAGAGGGAAAAAAAAAAAAAAAAGAGACTCAGATTGCTGAGTAAGCAACTCTGGAACCTTGAGGGAGGCTCAAGATGCATGAGCTACACCCTGAAACCCAAAGAACTGCATTGCACCATTGGTATGGATCCCGCATATATAAGTCCACCAAAGTACTTAACTGGGTTGTGTGCAGGCTGCAGTTGTGCTGGTTAATGTCAGGAGAACAAAGCAGGAGGGCAAAGCACCAGGATGAGCAGTGTAAATGCACTGAGACGTGGCAGGAAGTTTCAGTCTCTGACTAGCCAGGCTCAGGCTGGGAGGCCAGGTGAGTGTGGCTCCTATCTGAAGAAGTCCTCCAGACACCCTGTCTTTCTCAATGGTCATCTGTGGTGGATTAACTAAGGGCAACTAGGAACACCCAGATGAACTGAATCGGCATGGGGCTGGGTGTGGAAAGCCCACTTGAGGATTGTTGCCAACAGCATAAAAGGAGAACTGGGGAGGAAGATGGTGCTGTTGATTCTCCTGGAGAAGCTTCTCATGCTGGCTTTCCTGATATGAAGTCAGCTGTTCTGATAGCTGGAGGAGTTCAGATTGTTACTGTTGTTAAGGGTGGCTACAGTTCTCTTTGGGGGAGCTGTGGTCCTTACCTTAAGCATTGCTTCCTCACTCTAGTGCAGATCTCTTAGCCTGCTGGCACAAATCCGTCATCCTGCTGGTGCAGCCTTGTAGCTTCCACCACTGACCTTTGTGGATCCTTCCCAGTATAGATCCTTGATACAGACTTGCATGAGACATTGCTGTAGGCTCTAGGTCTTCAGCAGGACTTGTGCAGGACTTTGCTGTGGGATCCAAGCCTTCAGCTGGATTCTTTGAGTTCTAGTATGTGGACAGATCTCTCACATGATTTTGCATTTGACTCTGGGCAAATATCATAATAGAAAGAATCCTATCAGAAAGAATCCTATCAGAAAGAATCCTATAAATTATGTGTCTTGTATTAAATCTTTTCCTTTGTAAACCCTGACTACAACCACGTCTTATCTTAATGTGAACCATTCTGAGTAGATTTCTGTTTTTTTTTTTTCTCGTGTTCTATTTTGCAACAAAGATTTGACCAAATGCAGTAGCAGATATTAGCAGACATCAGTCTCAAAAAGACAAAAAATAAATAAATTAAAAAAATAAAGTTAATGAACCTTTTAAAAGTATAAATTATAGCATAAACTTATTAAGTTCCTTTAAAAATCCAAAAGTTGATTTACATAGGATTACTTTGAATTTATAAAT